TAGCCCGGATAGGCTCAACAATCTTGGCAAAGTTCTTAATGAAGATCCTCCAAAAGCCGACTACGCCTAGGAATGCCCTCACCTCCGTCGTCGTGCGCAGTGGTGTCGGCCACTGTGATATCTTGTCGGTCTTTGCCGGATCCGGCTTCCTGCCGTAAGCACCGCAACGAAATCCTAGTATAGTTACCTCCGGTATTGCTAGGATACTCTTTGGTCCACTAGCCGTAACGTTGTATACTAGGAACCGGCGGAGTAAGTCCTTGATGTCCTGCAGGTGTTCCCACACAAAATGTCGGATCCCTGGCTGGACTTCCGTCTCGTTCTTCTCCTGCGCGCCTTTGATCGGATTGTCATCGATGTAAGGCTCAAATTTCTCTAAGAACATGTCCCCGGCCACGGCGAGCATCCTGCGTTGCGCTTCGGCTACCGCGTTTGTGAATCCCATAGGGGTCACTTGCATTTGTAGCTGGCCTACAAGGGTGTGCATAGCAGTGTATGGCCTATCCCGAACATCCAATGGAAGTTGGTCGTACCCTGAGTACAGATCTATCAGGGAGTAAATGCTCTGACCGGCGTGCGATTCTGCTAATAAGTCAGCCTGAGGTAGCGAGCCAGCATCCCGGATGGTTACCGCATTCAACTTCTGCAGGTCCTGAATCCACCTTAGTGTCTTGTTAGGCTTCCGAAAGACGAACCACCGGTTTGCGTATGGCGACGCCGTAGGCTCCGCAACGAAGGAGTCCATTTTCGCTCGGAGGAGGTCTGTTACTTCTCCTGCTATCCCAAATTCATAGGACGGCCCCTTGTCATTCCAGCATTCATGTTCTACCGTGTGGATTCTGATCGGAGGGATCAGCTTCGCATCCAGTCGTCCCTTCTGGTGATCACTAAAGGCAAATGCCAGGTGAAACTCCTGGCAGGTCCTTTTGATCTGGCGGGTTTCTTCTTCCGTTAAGAACCCGTCTATCCCTATCTTCATTGTGTCAGCTACCTGATCTGGTATCCGATGTCCCTCCGTCGCCCTTCTTTCTCGGATCACTTGAAGGACCTCTTCCTCCTTCTCCATAGCCTCTTCCTTTGATGTCTCTAGTAGGATCGAGACCGGTTTTGCTTTCTTCCCTACCGGCTTGTACTTTTGAACACTTCCTTCCGGGATCTTTCTCCTAAAAAATGAATAGTCGGAATCGCCCCCGTCGCCTCTACGACTCATGGTTGAATACTAACTAGTTTCCCATTCAGGCAATATCCCTTTTGCACCTCTCTCTCGAACTTGGCCAAGGCTGCCGAATCCACTCCTACCTTATGGTATCTGAGGGCCTTGATGAGTTGCAATAGATCGGGGATCTCGAGTGCGATTTCTGGCACGTCTATGCGTACTTCTTTCCGTTTGGGCAGGCTAGCACCAAGTTCGACCTCTGACTCCTTTTCCGCTATCATAACACCTAGGACTTCGTCCTCCTGCCTCCTCTTCTTCTGGGGCAGGCCCATCTTGATCCACTCCTTCTTGTTGAATGCTTCCTCAATCATGATTTCTACCCTTTCTCTACCCTCCGTGCGAAAGCCCCTTTTTGCGTGCTATCCTCGAACGACGACGACCATGTTGCCAATTTTCCCTTCGGGGGGTCTCCTCCCGTTCCAAGGAGTCGGAGGAGCTCTCCCCGGCCGGTCACAGGGTCCTCTATGTCTACCATGTATGAGACATCGTGCAAGTGCATGCCTATCATCTCCACGTTCGCGCACCACGGTCTCCCGAGGATTATGTCGTGGTCCATTTCCTCCATTACGGTCATCCGCTGAAACGACCAGATCGATTCCCTGACCCCTGCCTTCATAGCACACTTCGTGACGTGCCCTGCGAACGGGATTTCCCCGCCAACTCCTCGGATCCTCCCTGTTACTTCCTTGTTTACCGTACATCCCGTGATCGTTGCGAAATCTCTCCTTATGAGAGTGATTTCTGCTCCCCCGTCTACTAATGCGTCGGTATGATGACTCCCGATCTGGATTTTCAGTTTCCCTACGAGCAGTGCATGGAAGCTAAGCTTTGTCCCGGGTGGTGATCTCATGACTTCGCCGCCCTCCCGGTCGGGCAAGCTCAAACGAATGTCTGCAAAGGCTTTTTCGAGATC